ATGAAGTCAGCAATAAAATACATTAAAACAATGTTTAAACACATAAATGACTATATACAAGAAACTTATTATACTTAAAGGCATTTATTATCAAACACTGAAAAAAAAGTAACATCTCCAATCAATGGAAACAGCTATAACTGAGGACAGACTTTATTTCAGGAACATATACGTAATCACTTTTCATCCTAATATTCATCTGGCAAAGTAGGTTGGTTGGTTGGTTGGTTGGTTGGTTGGTTGGTTGGTTGGTTTTTTGAGACAGGATCTCTCTCTACCACCCAGACTGGAGTACAGAGGCACCATCATGGCTCGCTCCACAGTGACCTCAGCCTCCCAGGCTCAAGTGATCCTCACAGCTTGGCCTCCCAAGAAGCTGGAACTAAAGGCATGCACCACCATGCCCGGTTAATTTTTTTATGTTTTTTAGAGACAGGGTTTTGCCGTTTGCCCAGGCTGGTCTGAAACTCCTGAGCTCAAGAGATCTGCTAGGTGTCAGCCTCCCAAACTGCTGAGATTACAGGTGTGAGCCAGGCCCTAAGTAGGTGTAAAAATCCCTATTTAACATAAGAAATTGAGGCATCATGAAGATAAGGCCAGAAGTCTAAGAACTGGGAGAGCTGGAAGCCTCCCCCAGATCTCTTATATTTGAGCTGAGTATACCAAACCAAGGGGACAGGGAGGGCTAACTTAATGTTAGCTGACAGGCTTATATAAGTTTGCAGCAGAATTTTCATTGATTTATGGAAAAATGGGGAAAAGTAAGGACACAAAAATAAACTTTTATTTTGAGACAGAGTTTCACTCTTGTAGCCCAGCTAAAGTGCAACGGCACCATCTCCATTTACTGCAACCTTTGCTTCCCAGGTTCAAGTGATTCTCCTGCCTCAGCCTTCAGAGTAGCTGGGATTACAGGAGCATGCCAGCACGCCCAGCTAATTTTATATTTTTAGTAGAGACAGGGTTTCACCATGTTAGCCAGGCTGGTATGAAAGTAAACTTTTTAATATAACTAAATAATTCCATTTAAAGATCTTTTATTCTAGATGGGTACAGTGGCTCATGCCTGTAATCCCAGCACTTTGAGGTGGGCAGATCATGAGGTCAAGAAATCAAGACCATCCTGGCCAACATGGTGAAACCCTGTCTCTATTAAAAATACAAAAATTAGCTGGGCATGGTGGCATGTACCTGTAATCCCAGCTACTCAGGAAACTGATGCAGGAGAATCACTTGAACCCAGGAGGCAGAGCCTGCAGTGAGCTGAGATCACGCCACTGCACATCAGCCTGGCGAAAGAGACTCTGTCTCAAAAAAAAAAAAAAAAAAAAACCAAATCAGTATTTCTATTGTAGCCTCCTAATTTTGGAAAAATATTTGTTTTAATTATTATTTTTATTTTTTATTCCCTGCCCTCCTTGAAATATTTCTTTAGAAATCTAAAAGTCTGGTCCTTTACATCATTATGGCCCCAAAATAATAGGGGACTTTACACACAGATAACACATGCCCTCAAAATTCTCTCTTTAACCTCCACCTTATTCTGTTTTGATTAGGACATTTGGGATTATGAAATGAGAATAAAGTTGAGTATAAGCAATCCAAAACCAAGTGCTGATGCTGGATCCTGAAAGAGGGCTTTCTTCAGAATCTTTTTCATCTGTTAACTTTTCTCTGGGCTCAAACAGTTTTTCTTTTTTTTTTTTTTTTTGAGACAGAGTTTTGCTCTTCTTGCCTAGGCTGGAGTGCAGTGGTGCAATCTCGGCTCACCACAATCTCTGTCTCCCAGGTTCAAGTGATTCTCCTGCCTCAGCTTCCTGAGAGGCTGAGATTACAGGTATGCACCACCACACTAAGCTAATTTTGTATTTTTAGTAGAGACGGGTTTTCTCCATGTTGGTCAGGCTGGTCTTGAACTCCTGACCTCGGATAATCCACCCACCTCAACCTCCCAAAGAGCTGGGATTACAGGCATGAGCCAAGTGGCTTCAGACTTATTTATTTATTTATTTGAGACAGAATTTCACTCTTCTTGTCAGCTCACCACAACCTCCATCTCCCAGGTTCAAGCAATTCTCCTGCCTCGGCCTCCCGAGTAGCTGGGATTACAGGCGTGCACCACCATGCCCACCCACCTAATTTTGTATTTTTAGTAGAGACAGGGTTTCTCCATGTTGGTCAAGCTGGTCTCGAACTCCCAACCTCAGTTGGTCCGCCTGCCTCAGCCTCCCAAAGTGGTGGTATTACAGGCGTGAGCCACCACACCCAGCCTGGGCTCAAACTTTCTTTTCCTAAAAGTCACATCTTTGAGTAGTACCGCTACATGGCAATCAATACTCAAAAGAAACTAACTTGAGGTGTCCAATAATCAGCTTTCATTTAAGGTCTCTTTCAGCTTGACAAAATAAAAACTTTCAATGTTTTGTCTACCTACTTCCAAAAGAAAATTAGTCTGTGTGTGTGGTGTGTTTGTGTGTGTGTGTGTATATATGTGATTATATATGTATATATACATATGTGACTTTTGATCAGCCTGTTTATAAAGTATTTCCAAAATAAGCTAACCTGTAAATTCATGTATTAAATGAGTTTATAAACTACTTGATTTTTGCAAGTAGTTTATAAACAGCCTGATCAAACTGAACAAATTTCTTAAAATAATTTCACTGTATAGATAGCAAGTAAGTTATTCACTCTGCTTATTAGCATATCTTATTTTTACCTATCCTTAACAAGCATGTAAATTAAACTGTTTCATGTCCACAGCTACACACTGAAACAACACTTTCAGTCACAATATATTAAATTCAAATTTAAACTATAAAGAAATCCAGTTACCTTTCATCTTACATGTACTTATATATACTTTTAATATACTTCTTAATGTTTTATGATGCACACACAGCTCTTGCAGGACATCTAACTATGAAAATATTTAGAGCGTATGCTTATTAAATGGTTCAAAACTCTTTTTTTAAAAAAGTCAATTTTAAGAACGTAAATACACAGTAAAGTACTCCTTCCATGTCCCTATGTTAAAAGGTCCATTTATTTTAGACTACTTGTTTCAAAAATAAATCTAAAATTGGTAATAATTCTGCTTCCATTCCATATTAACCTAGGATCAAGTTATTTTTAGTTCTTTTTTCTTAAATACTTGATATGTGCTGCTGCATAATGTTTTCCTTACATATTTATTCAATCAACTAACTTCAGGTGGAAGGTACTTAGGAGTTTAAAAGTCCTTTCCCAAAGTGGAAATAACATAAACATTTTGCATAAAAGACAATGTTTCTCAAAGGGTATCTGAGGGTCTAATCAGCCTATTACCTTGGTTCGGAATAACCACCAACAACAAATGTGAGCTTTTTGTCACATCTATGTATTTTCCCCTGTCAGCTAATACTTACATTTTAAATGCATTTTCAAAATGTTTCATTTGGCCATGTGATAATTATTTCCCCCGTAAAAAGCTACAGGATTTTGGTTTACGAGCAAATGAGGTAGAGTATCTGGTCCATTAGAAGGCTAAGTGGAAAGATCTGCACCCTGAAGTTTGTAATCAATAACAAGACAAACTCCAATGCTACCTTGTTCATGTAATCAACAATATGAGAGTCAAAATAAACTAGTGAGTTATACATTTCTGTCTACATACCAATTTACCCATCAACAGGAGGGGAAGAAATTGCTCAAATGTGACTGTTAACAAACATGTTAACAAACATCTAAATATTAGACAGTCTCTATTAAAATCGTAAACTATCAATTTTGAAATCATGCTTTCAAATTCTGTTATGTTTGCAATACCCTCCCCACAAAAAAAAAAAGAGCAGCAACCTTTAAAATGTAAATTCCTCCCTTTTTCAAAGTAACTTGCCTAGGAAAATTTAATGCGTTAAAATAAAATGTCAGACAAACCAATTACAACATTAAAAAAAAAAAACCTAAAATAATCAGTAACACAAACCAATCGCTCAAGTTTAGCAAAGCGTGTGTTTTTAATCTGTTGTGGGTATCCTATTATACTAATAAGCAACAACTTTTAAAAGTCATCCCAGTGCCTAAAACACCACCACACACATAACATACTTGTCCTTTACTCCAATGAAACTTAAACTCAGACCCAAACTCAGACCATTTCCCCCTCTTGCCACACTGAAATATATGAGAGGAAATCCAAGAAATCAGATATGCTAAGTGCCGGTATCTTCTTCCACGGTACGGTCAAACTCGTGTTTGCCCAAAAACGTCACCGTCCCAGTAAGTCTGCAGATTCTCACTAGCGTTGGAGTACAAAGAGGCCTGACCAGAAAGACACCGGGAAACGCAGCCCCCTGAGTCTGCGCAGGCCCCAAAGCTTCGCCTGCAGCGATCGGGGGAAAAGAGGTGGCCGCTGGCCTCGCGGGTGTGGCGGACAGGGTCCCACACCCTGGCCCGCCTCCCTAGAACCTGGAAATATGTCAGGCTGGCCGGGACCCACCCTCTTCAGACCCTCGCGCTTCAGCCCAGCGCCGCCCCCACCCGCCCGACCGCACCCCGACCGCCCAGGCCCCCCAGCCGCACTCTGTCACCTCATCCCTCCCTGGCGGCCTCGCGGCCCCGCCACCTCCACTGCGCGGCCGGGGCTCGGGCCGCCCCTGGGGCAGGAGCGCCCAGCTGCCACTCCCCCGCCCGCCCCAGCCGGTTCACCGTGGCCAGGTCCCTGGTGGCCCAGGCCTGAGCTCCTCCCGCGAGCTCCCCACCCCCAGCCTCCACCATTGCCCTGCAGCCGCTCGCGGCCCACTCCCCAAAGGCTACCTGGAGGCAAGGACGGTGAAGCACCTCACCCAGGGCCCCAGGTCGCCGAGGGCCGGGTGCTCGGGGTCCCGCTGCTAAACCCGCTCCACGTGGTAGGCATAGATGGGAGAGCAGGATCCCGGCCGCGCACACAGCCTACCGGGCCACCCGCTCCTACTACAGCACCAACACTCTCTTGAGGGCGAGAGCCGCCAACTTACCGCTCTGCCGCCACCGCCTCCTTCCGCCTACACCTCAGCCGCCGCTATCAGTCAGCCCGACGCAGCCGCCGCACCTCATTGGCTCCATGGCTTGCTCCTGACCCCACCCCGACAGGCGCAGCCCAACCGCCCCAAATGAGGCGGGCAGAGCGGGGAAGGCATGCAGCGGCACGGAGGGAGGGGGCTGTGCGCGCAACCCTCCAGAAAGCCGAATTGGCTGCGGGAGACTGAGGCTGGGCGTCGCGGTGCGCGTGAAGGGCGGGGCCCGGGGTGAGGGTGGGGCCTGGGGTGAGGGGCAGGACTGGGTGGGAGGGACTTAGGGGAGCACTTGCCAGGATCACTTCGCAAGGATCCCCCAGAGGTGGCTGGGTGAACCCTCAGCCCCTCCCTCTGGGATGGCAACTGGTTGCCATCCTTTTTCCCTTTTTCGTCGTTATCACTTGATGTTTCTGACACAATCCAAATCACTCCAGGCCAATGCTTGAGGCTTCTGAGCCACCCTCCTATGACCTGATCTTCCCACCACCACCTCCAGGCACTTGGTGTTCAACCTGTGCAAAACTTTTTTTTTTAATGTGCAAAACTATGTTTTAAATTAAAAAGCTATTTTTCAAAAATGATTTATGGGCCAGGCACAGTGGCTCACGCCTGCAATCCCAACACGTCGGGAGGCTGAGGCAGGTGGATCACTTGAGGTCAGGAGTTAGAGACTAGCCTGGCCTACATGATGAAACCCCCACGTCTACTAAAAGAAAAAAAAATTAGCTAGGCATGGTAGTGTTCGCCTGTAATCCCAGCTATTTGGGAGGCTGAGGAACAAGAATCACTTGAACCCGGGAAGTGGAGGTTGCAGTGAGCCAAAATCGCACCACTGCACTCCATCCTGGGCCATAGAGTGAAAGTCTTAAAAAAAAAAAAAAAAATAGTAGGATTGGTATTGATTCCACCATTACCTGGAATTAAAAAAAAAATGTACGAACGCCTTGCTTCTCTGTAAGCTGAATTTCAGGTGCCTTACCATAATTCATATCATACAGAAAAACATAGATGAGCTAATAAAATCAGTACGAAGAAAAGGAAAAGTCAGGCCCAGGCGTGGTGGCTCCCTCCTGTAATTGCAGCACATTGGGAGGCCGAGGCAGGCGGATCACCTGAGGTCGGAAGTCCAAGACCAGTCTGATCAACATGGAGAAACCCTGTCTCTACTAAAAATACAAAATTAGCCGGGCGTGGTGACGCACGATTGTCATCCCAGCTACTACTCAGGAGGCTGAGGCAGGAGAATCCCTTGAACCTGGTAGGCCGAGTTTGCCGTGAGCTGCGCGACCGCACTCCAGCCTGGGCAACAAGAGCGAAACTCCAACTTGTTTCCAAAAAAAAAAAATAGAGGCCAGGCGTGGTGGCTCACGCCTATAAACCCAGCACTTTGGGAGGCCAAGGCGGGTGGATCACGAGGTCAAGAGATCCAGACCATCCTGGTCAACAAGGTGAAACCCTGTCTCTACTAAAAATACAAAAATTAGCTGGGCATGGTGGTGCGTGCCTGTAGTCCCAGCTACTCGGGAGGCTGAGGCAGGAAAATTGCTTGAACCCAGAAGGCGGACGTAGCGGTGAGCCGAGATCGCGGCATTGCACTCCAGTCTGGGTAACAAGAGCGAAACTCCGTCTCAAAAAAAATAAAAAGAGAGAGAAAGATTAAAAAAAGTCAGAATAAAGTAAAAGGCCAGGAATAAGAACACAGATAAGCCAGTCATAGGGGCTTTCACAGTTATTAAAATTGGGTCATACATTGGCTCTGAGTTTCCTGGTGGCCAAAACTAGAAGGAAAACACATGTATGTGCTTTTCTCACTGTCTCTAAGAAGAAACACAGTGTTCTTGGAGACTCTCAGTGTTTCCCTTGTTGCAACTTTTTTTTTTTTTTTTTTTGAGACAGAGTCTGCTCTGTCGCCAGGCTGGAGTGCAGTGGCGACATCCCCGCTCACTGCAACCTCCGTCTCCCTGGTTCAAGCAATTCTCCTGCCTCAGCCTCCCGAGTAGCTGGGACTACAGGCGAGTGCCACTGTGCCCAGCAAATTTTTGTATTTTTTTAGTAGAGGTGGAGTTTCACCATGTTGGCCATCATGTTCTAGATCTCTTGACCTCGTGATCTGCCCGCCTCGGCCTCCCAAAGTGCTGGGATTACAGGTGTGAGCCACCACACCCGGTGCAACTTTCAATTTTTCAGGGGCTTTATGTAGTGATTTGGAGTAATAAGCAATATCCTTGTATTCATTACCTATTGTTGGGTAAAAGTCTCCCCAAACTTAGCAGCTTAATAAACAATATACTTTTTTTTCCTTCACAGTTTCAATGGGCTAGGAATCTGGGTGAGGTTAGCTGTGTCCTCTGGCTCAGGCTCTTGTTAGGATACAAACTGTCAGCCAGGGCAGCTCTCTCAAGCCTTCCCAATCCTCTTCCAAACTCACTTCCACAGCTGCTGGCAGGCCTCAGGTCCTCTCGTCTGTTGGCTGGAGACCTCAGTTCCTATCCACTTGTACCTCTTCATAAGAAGCAGCTGGCTTGCCCCAGGGTTAGGGAGGAGAAAGAGAAAGAGAAAGAAAAAGAAAATGAGAGAGAGAGAGATCACAGTGCTTTTTTGTAACCTAATACCAGAAGTGACATCCCATCACTTTTAGGTATTCTATTGCTACTTAGAAAATAGCACCTAGGTCCAGCAAGCCACGATGGCTCAAGCCTGTAATCCCAGAATTTTAGGAGGCTGAGGTGGGTGGATCACCTGAAGTCAGGAGTTCAAAACCAGACTGACCAATATGGTGAAACACCATCTCAACTAAAAATACAAAAATTAGCTGGATGTAGTGGAACATACCTGTAATACCAGCTACTTGGGAAGCTGAGGCAGGAGAATCACTTAAACTCAGGAGACGGAGGTAGAAGTGAGCCAAAATCACACCATTGCACTTCAGCCTGGCTTAGAAGGCAAAACTCCATCTCAAAAAAGAAAAGAAAAGAGTCCCAATAGTCCCTAGGTCTAGCCCATGCTCAAAGGAAGAGGATTATACAGGAAGTAAATATGAGGAGGCTGTTTACTACAGTCAAAAACATCCTCACTCTGCCCAGGTGGGGTGGCTTACAACATTTTGACAGGCTGAGGCAGGAGGATTGCTTGGGACCAGCAGTTCAAGACCAGCCTGAGCAAAATAGGGAGCTCTGGTCTCTGCAAAAAATATTCAAAATTAGTTGGGTGCGGTGACGCATGCCTGTTGTGCCAGCTACTTGGGAGGCTGAGGTGGGAGGTCTGATTGAGCCCAGGGGTCTTGGGATGGGGGTGTGGGCTGAGGCTGCAATGAGCCGACATTGCCCCACTGCACTTCTACCTGTATGACAGGGAGACCATAATTTTTTTTAAAAATGTAGTAGAGATGGGTTTTCACCATATTGGTCAGGTGGGTCTCAAACTCCTTGACCTCTTTTAATCCACCTGCCTCAGTCTCCCAAAGTTCTGGGATTATAGGCATGAGCAACCATGCCAAGCCATTAATAACATGTTTATGACTTTAGAAATATTTAGCATAACGATCAAAATTACAAATCATAACATTAAAATTGTATAAATGTATATAACTTCTGGAACATGTATATCCACAGTATACCCATAAATATAACTGAGATGAGATCTGCTGTCACCTCTTCTTACAATGCCCTCCCATGTAGTATCACCACATTTGACAATGCCCGCCCATAAAACCTGCCAAATTAATCTAATCATTTAATATCTCTACAAGATCAAAGATACATTCTTTAGACTCCCGAGGGATACAGCTGAAAAATCTCAAATTTAATTTTAAACCAAAAATACTTGATTTAGGATTCTGATGCTGGCAAAACCCATCAAAGATACCAAGTTTGAAAACACTTGATCAGAAGAGAATCACAGGTCACTTTTAAAAGAATATGCAGACCGGGCATGATGGCTGATGCCTGTAATCCCAGAACTTTAGGAGAACAAGGTGGGCAGATCACGAGGTCAGGAGATCTAGACCATTTTGGCTAACATGGTGAAACCCCGTCTCTACTAAAAATACAAAAAATTAACTGGGCCTGGTGACAAGTGCCTGTAGTCCCAGCTACTCAGGAGGCTAAGGCAGGAGAATCGCTCAAACCCAGGGGGTGGAAGTTTTAGTGAGCCAAGATTGTGCCACTGCACTCCAGCCTGGGTGACAGAGCAAGACTCAGTCTCAAAAATAAATAAATATAAAGAATATTCATTTAACCAGATACTTCAAAAGCAATACAGAAAGTTACATGGATATGGATATAAAAAACATAACCCTTTAGGCCAGGCACAGTGGCTCATGCCTGTAGCCCCAGCACTTTCACAGACTGAGGCAGATGGATCACCTTAAGTCAGGAGTTCGAGACCAGCCTGGCCAACATGGTGAAACCCCACCTCTACTAAAAATACAAAAATTACCCAGGTATGGTGGTACATGCCTGTAATCCCAGCTACTAGGAAGGCTGAGGCATGAGGATCACTTGAATCTGGGAGGCAGAGATTGCAGTGAGCCGAGATCATACCACTGCACTCCAACCTGGGCAACAGAGAGAGACTCAGTCTCAAAAACAAACAAAAAACTTTAACCCAAATGAAGACTTGAATTTATCAAACACAGGATGAGTGTGTACAGGGTTATGGGTGTACACACGATGCCTTTGGTCATATCTCCATTTGCCACCTGATTACACATTAGAATGGCATCTTTACTGACTGGAAAGCCAGTATTATAGGTGGCATAGGAGGCACTCTTGGACTTGAGACAAGAATATTGTTGTGTAGAAATGTCATCCTCTGTGTTAAAATTAATCTCCATGGGCTAGAGAACACATAGCATGGCATTTAGAATGACATAGGCTTTGACCAGCTGCAAGGTCTCAACACTTACTAGCTGTGTCACATTGGACAAAGTGCTTCATCATTTTGAGACTTAGTTTTTTGTTGTTGTTGTTTGCTTGTTTTTGTTTATTTGTTTTGGGAGGAGTTTTGCTCTTGTCACCTGGGCTGGAGTGCAATGGCACTACCTTGGTTCACTGCAACCTCCTCCTCCTGGGTTCAAGTGATTCTCCTGCCTCAACTATTAGAGTCCTGGGATTACAGGCACCTGTTACTATGCTCAACTAATTTTTGTATTTTTAGTAGAGATGAGGTTTCACCATGTTGGCCAGGCTGGTCTCCGACTCCTGATCTCAGGTGATCCACCTGCCTCGGCCCCCCAAAAT